GAGCTGCCGAAGACCAGCCGAGAGAACCAGCGGCTGGGGGGTGCTTGCGAGAGGCAGGCACCACCCTGATATAAGACCGAAAAAGAAAAGCAGGCTCACACCTAATTGAGAGAAAGGGGGCCATCCATGAGAGGTGGGTGCTCCCCCTGCCCCATGAAAAGACTGTTTGCAGAAACTATCGGCCAGAGAAAAGGGGGCACGCACGAGAGGTAGATGCCGATCCCATTACACAGCCTCAAGTTTTTGCTGTTGAATGCAAGGTCAGCCATCAACAAAATCAACATTCTTCATTATTTCATTTTGGATGGGGTACCTGATATAACCTTCCTGGCAGAGATTTCTTTAAGTACCATTTAATCTAGCCTGCTCTATTGTAGCCAAGACAATGTCCCCTCTTTCCGCCCCACCTTCAAAGGCCTCCGGCTGCTGTTTATCAAAATAAGAGGAAGCCAAGGAATACTGCTAGATTCAAATCTATACTACAATATCACATAATATCAGTGGCAAAAAATATCTTCCATCTGCAGCTTGCTAGGAAACATCACCCCTTCCTCCCCGATAAGGATCTAACCATAGTGGTCCACATTTTCAATGCCTCCCGAACAAATGGCTGCAACTCACTATATCTGAGCTTGAATGTGACTGCAATTCAGATATTCATACACAATATAACTCCACATATGCTCAGCGAGATGTTCCATGGTGAACACATCGCCCTGTGCTATGATCCCTCCACTGGTTCACAGTCTGCTTCAGTTGCCGTTTACGGCCTTGGTTTATGACCCACCAAAACAGATGCTCTTATCTAGGACAATACAACTGGTAAAGCCCAAGATGAAGCACATGAAACCTAGAAATAAATAATTCACAGACATAGTCAAGGGGGTTTGTAGTGGAATGAACTCCCAGAAGAGATGAAGTTAATTCAGTATAACCCTCTCTGATAATACTTTCCCATCATAAGTGGAATGAGTTATGAAAAGAATACATATACCTAGTTAGAATTTCCTATAAACAGGGAAGGAACACAGGCACAAGACTCCATTAGGAACCCTGTCATGCTGCTTTAATTCACCAGCACAACACTTAGATAGAAAGACAGAAAACAGAAGATAGTATGAATCTGAATGCAAACGAGAGCTCTAAGTCTTGACCCTTCATCATATATTTTCATGCAATATGCATGAAAAAAATAGCTATGTGCCACTTCCATGTAAACTAAATTAAAATGGTGTGAATTAACAAGGTGTATTTGAGGCCAGGGATACTCATCCAACATGTGTGGTTATGTGTAAGCCAGAAAGGGTAGAGAAGATGAACTAATTTAATGCCACTGAGATAATCAAGCACAGATGTAGTTTAATGAATGAAAAACATAACATACGCATGTTAAACTTTCACAGCCAACATTTACAATACCTGGCAGATAACTGAAGCTTGCAGTGACCTTGGGAGCTTTTCAAGGTGCATGTTTTCGCAAGGATGAACTCTTCTTGAACAATTTCTCCGATGTATTAGGCACAAAAATGCTTTCCTGCAACAACAGGCATCCCTTTCTTTTCTTGCTGCTTTTCTTCATTAGCAAAAGTATTTATGGTCAATGTAAAGCATGTCTGACTCCTTTAATATGTGAAGTCTCCTATTATACATCCCTGGTGTAATATCTCTAGGTCTCTGGAACAGAACAGAACTGTATTCCTCTTCACCTTTTACTTTTTGGTAGGTATCCTCCTTACAACACTAAGTCTACAGAATAACTGGTTGTTATAAGTTATTTTCTGCTCAGTAGTTTCATCTACACAAATATATTTTAAATGTATTTTGTAATCATCTTGGCATATGAGGATGCAGAATGTGTCCTCCCCATACCCCTCATGAGAGTTTCTAAAGGTACAATTTTGTATACAGCAGAAGCACCAACAGCAAAAACTCAAAAACATAAGTAAAGCAAACTGTTTTGAGGAAATTTTTCTACTTTGTGCTAAGAAATCAACTTGTTCCTGTATTATGACATGGGCTACTTCTTTGTTGTGGTTCTTGCTTACTACATAGTGATTGAGATATTTTTTACATTGATGAATATGGAGCAAAGTAGCAAGCCTATGGGGGATTTTCACATCTACATGGTAAAAATGTGTTTCTCTGGGTTCATATTTGAAATACACACTGATCTGTATGGTGAACTATATGCTGTTAGATACCAAGACAAAAGGCAACACATCCTGATTTGCAGCCAACACCTGTGTCTAGATGAGCAGCTGATTCAACTAATATTAAAGCTACCATCCAATCCTGTAAGCAAAATATTGATGATTTAGTTACAAGAAAGAAAGAATTCCAAGAACTTCATATTTCACTACTCAGTTCAAAGTCAGTAAGAGCATACTCTTTGCTTAAAAATTTCTTTAGAATTTTTCACATCATTTTATTCAAAAGCTGCTAGAATTTGTTGGCTAAATCAATTATTTTATCAAGAAATGCGTTAGTTAGTTAGTTAGCATTAGTTAAAATAACATGTGAAAATTTGGCTAGTTTTGTTTAAATATGCTATCAATTATATTTATTGAGGTATCCAAAAGTAATAACCATATAGAAAAAATATTAGAGTGGAGTTGAGATGCTAATGTTTTAAAACCCATCAGCTGTTTACATCACAACAATCAAATAGATAATAATTACCAGATGCCAAATGCCTTGTCACTGAACTTTGTAACGTATTTGGTGACATACAATCCTACTCAGCTCAAGAGTAATTTTTTTCAAACTTTAGAGAATATTTTTAAAAAGGGTTAAATACAGAAAAATATCTGAAACTAACTGCACATTTATAGTTCAATCTTCTATGGCATGTTACCACATGTTGAGGATATATGGGGAACATACATTTAACACTGGTGTCTTCACAAATAGTTTTTACACAAAAGATGTGACATTCAAGTTTCTAAAGTGACTAAGTTTTGTCTGCCCTGTTTTTGGTGTACACTTTCCTTCACTAATCTCCCAAATGAGACACAGTTACTCAGTTAAGTTTTTGATAAAAAATAATCTGTCTTTCCTGTTCTCTTTAAAGGGTTTTTTAAATCTTTTTTTTTTTTATCATTGAATACTGAGAGCAAAATCAATGCACGGGGGACTTTACAGTTCAGCTGTCATGGCATAAATCAATATTTAAAATGTACGGTAGTGATTTTTCTTCCGTTGAAAGTAGGGCTTTGTGTCCTGAATTCCTTGTTCTATTAAAATACATAACTGTCTAGGCTAGACTACAAACTCCAATATTGGCTTATAACTAGATTTTACTAGCTCAATAATGATATAAAAGAACAGTAATAGAACTGCTAATGTTTGACTTCTGTACTCTTCTGGATGATTATTCAAGCTGTCTCTCATTGCGTTAGGAAAATCATGTCTCACCCTCTTCCACTTGCATTCACGAAGGGCTTGGTGTAACAGTCTTTTGATGGCTCATTAAAGCAGGGTAAAAGTAGTGAAGTATCCTGAGGAAAACATGAGCTTCTTATCAATTTTTTAATGAGAAAAGCCCTCCTTCCTCCTCCAAGCAACTTATTTCAGACAAGGAACTAATTTGCAAGTGCAGTGTGTATCATTTTATTACCTACAGCCTTCCATCATGCATATGATGATTTATGAGATAGAAGGTGAGAACATCCAATAGTTTTGCCACTGTATTCCTCTCCTTGCCTTGTCTCCAGAAAACCTTTCATTCTGTGATTATGTCCCAGTTGCACAATGGCCTTTACAACACCCCTCCCAAGTGCTTACCTACCCCTAAGCAAATTTCTCTGCTGTGACTGAACATCCCTTGGGCTTACTGTCTGAATGCATTAATGACAGAGACAAAGGGTGAGAATTAGATGTGTGGTGGCCCTCTATCTAGTATTTTCTACTACTACAAGAACACAAAGGCAGGAGGCTAATGAAGCAGCTAGTCGTTACCCTGCAACTTGAACACAGTCTATGAAGTTTGCACACTGTGATTCACTTTTATTTACTGCTGCTGCTGCATTTGTTGACGTCCTTTTTACTTTCAGGGCCATGCAGCGGTCTCAGAACCAAAATCAAAAGGCGACCAGACCTGCCCGTTAAGGAGGGGGGACGAGGACCGTTAGACCTGCAGACTTACTTGCCTGAGGAAGATTGAAGCATGCATCTGTCTCTCCTCTCTGAAGGCTCCAGTGCACATCTGCGTCACTTACAGGGGAGGGGGCGGCTCGGAGGGAGGCGCTGAGGAGGCAGATGGAAAATTGTACAGTGAAGACCTTGACAGCTTCACAGGCGGGGAGCGGGTGTCCCCCCGCCTCGTGATGTATATAAAAGAAGCCCCGCTTGCTCCTTTCGCCAGCTCCCAGGCTCTGCCTGCCCAGATAACTGCAAGCAGGGGACTCCCCTGAGACACCGAGGCTGGGTGGGTGACTTTATTCCCTCCTTCTACTCTGTCACTGAGCAATGCGAAGCGGAGGAAGAGCCCCCCCAGCGTTATACCCTGGCGGCGACGGCTGAGCCCGCTCTCGCCTTGTGTCTGTGAATCAGATGAGTGCTTCTTGAGCAGCCTCCCTCATCCCCTCTCCTTTGCAAGTCTCTCCGTCTCTCTCTTTCCTAAGAGCTGCCTCTGCTTCTCTCCCCCGCTTCTCCTTGATCGCGTCTCCAGCTCGGTGCGCCCCTCCGTTCTCCGTCCTCCCTGCGTGTGTGTCTCCCGCCCCCGGCCACTGCTCTCGGCCCGGCCCCTCAGCATGCCCAGCTCTGCCCGGAGAGGCTGGGGCTGCTGAGCCGGGACTTTCTGCAGCTGCCGAGGGGCCATCGCCGCGCGCGCGCGGGGCTGGGCGCGGCAGCTCAGCGGGCGCCCTCCTGCCTGGGCCATTTTGCAGTGTCAGGCTGCGCGTCGCGCCGCTCGTGCCTCCCCAGCTGCAGCCCCCTTCCCGCGCGGTGCTCTGAGCCCCTCTATCTCCCCCCCTCCTCTCCCCCCCCCACCGCTACTTGCCCAAAGCAGAAGCAGCTGCAGCATGTCAGGCTCGGGCAGGAAGGACTTTGACGTGAAGCACATCTTGCGCCTTCGCTGGAAACTATTCAGCCACCCATCGGCGCCGGCCGGGCCGGTGGCCGGCGGCTGCTTGCAGCCGGACGGCAGCTTCGAGCACTGGGGGCCGAGCCAGAGCCGCCTGCTGAAGAACCAGGAGAGGGGCGGCAGCGCCTTCTGGAAGAAATCCTCTTCCTCTAGCCCGCTGAACGGGACCCTGCTGCCCGCCACCAGGCATGGGCTGGGCCAGCGGCCATCGCCCAGGACCGTCTTCTACGTGGAGACCCTGGAGGAGGAGGAGGTGCGCGGCGGGATGGAGCTCACCCGAGAGCAGGAGAAGTCGCTGATGCTGCAGGAGATGAAGGAGGAGCCGGCGGACTGTTCGGACTGCAGCAGCCAAGCAACAGGTGAAGGATGTGGACACAGGTACAGTGACCCGCGCGGCGCATCCCATCTGTGCGGGGTGAAGTTAAGGGGAAGGGGGGGGGTGTCTAAGGTTTGACGCTCCACAGACTTTGTCCGTTTTCATGGGCCAAGCCATCCTCAACTTTGGAGGCTTCTTGTTGGTTGGTTTGTTGTGACCAACTTTAGTTGGGCTAGCAAGTGGGCCGTGCCGGCAGGAGGGAGCTCAGCTCCACAAGGCTCATCAGCCTGGGGACTTAGATCATTGCTTTTGTGCCACCAGCATTGCACTGGGGGTTTGGCTTCTACGTGTACTCTCCACCTTCCTCTAGCTCTGTACAGCAATGGGCAGGACATATCTGCTATCCATCCCTCCCGTAAATTGCTGGTGTCATAACAAGTGCTAATCAAAACCAACTGATTAGCTACTACACATTGCGGGGAGGCGGGAAGGAAGGTAACTTGAAAAAAAAAGTTTACTGAAAATGTGACTATGGACATTTGAAATGGAAAAGACTTACTTAATAAAAGCATCAAAAACCTAAAGGTTTGATAGAAAAAGATGACCTGAAGATGTGGCACATTGTTTTCTTTCAGATTTGTTACCTAAATACTAAAAGATGGTGGCTCAGCGTTTTCTCTCTCTCTCCAAATCAATTTTCTTTACCTGTATAGGAAAGTTCAGAAACAATATAGTATTTAGGACAATGAGAACCTACCTTTAAAATAGTGAAGTGTCCAGCTCAAAGAGGAAAGGAGGTACCTGAGAAACTACAAGTTAAGACGGTGAGAAAGGTGATTTCAGGCATGTGTTTTTCAGATCCCCCCCTCCCCCCCGTTATTCAGTTATTTTTTCTAACTTCTTAGGGTAAAAAGAAGTGAAAAGTAAAATTAACAGTGTATTCATTAAAAGAGTAGCATGTAATTAAGCGGTGTCAAGTGGAGTGCCCCAGGGGTGGGTCCTGGGGCCGGTTTTGTTCAATATCTTCATAAATGATCTGGAGGATGGTGTGGATTGCACTCTCAGCAAATTTGCGGATGATACTAAACTGGGAGGAGTGGTAGATACGCTGGAGGGCAGGGATAGGATACAGAGGGACCTAGACAAATTGGAGGATTGGGCCAAAAGAAATCTGATGAGGTTCAATAAGGATAAGTGCAGGGTCCTGCACTTAGGACGGAAGAACCCAATGCACAGCTACAGACTAGGGACTGAATGGCTAGGCAGCAGTTCTGCAGAAAAGGACCTAGGGGTGACAGTGGAAGAGAAGCTGGATATGAGTCAGCAGTGTGCCCTTGTTGCCAAGAAGGCCAATGGCATTTTGGGATGTATAAGTAGGGGCATAGCGAGCAGATCGAGGGACGTGATCGTCCCCCTCTATTTGACATTGGTGAGGCCTCATCTGGAGTATTGTGTCCAGTTTTGGGCCCCACACTACAAGAAGGATGTGGATAAATTGGAAAGAGTCCAGCGAAGGGCAACAAAAATGATTAGGGGTCTGGAACACATGACTTATGAGGAGAGGCTAAGGGAACTGGGATTGTTTAGTCTGCAGAAGAGAAGAATGAGGGGGGATTTGATAGCTGCTTTCAACTACCTGAGAGGTGGTTCCAGAGAGGATGGTTCCAGACTATTCTCAGTGGTGGAAGAGGACAGGACAAGGAGTAATGGTCTCAAGTTGCAGTGTGGGAGGCTTAGGTTGGATATTAGGAAAAACTTTTTCACTAGGAGGGTGGTGAAACACTGGAATGCGTTGCGTAGGGAGGTGGTGGAATCTCCTTCCTTAGAAGTTTTTAAGGTCAGGCTTGACAAAGCCCTGGCTGGGATGATTTAATTAGGGATTGGTCCTGCTTTTGAGCAGGGGGTTGGACTAGATGACCTCCTGAGGTCCCTTCCAACCCTGATATTCTATGATTCTATGATTACCATTCAGTGTAGAGGAGACAAGACGTTTTGATGCAAGTGAAACTGAAGAGTAGATCCCTGAGGTCCATCAACAGTGCATTAATGTCTGTTTCCCCTGCTTTCCTCATTACTTTAGTAACTTTCATTGCATTTCTTTTGCTCTATATTTACTTTTTCCTTAGTAAGTACAATTTCAGTTTTATTTATAAACAGAAAGGCAAGCCCTGGTACTCTGTTTACTGTGTTGCAAATAACACATATGTTAAATATTTTATTATGTGCAGAGACAACATTGTGTAAGTTCTCTGGGATTCACATGATTGAAGATCAAACTCCATTTGACAGAAGCCACTCTAGAGTATGTAAAAGCTTTCACATGGGGACTGAAAACATATTTAATCTACTTGAAAAAGGCTTTTAACATTTTTTTCAATTAGTGTAGTTCATTTCACAGAAGCTACCTTATTTAAACAAATGTGGACCATCCAAGGCATGAATTAGAGTACTTTGTTAAAGGGGAGGTCAGTGGTGCTTAAATTTAAGGTACTTTGGAGATTATTATTCAGAATGAGTTGGGTGTTTAACATAGAATTAAAGATACAGATGTTTGCAATGTATATATAAGGAAAATCATCAGCACTTCATAATAAAAACATTTATAGTTCATATAAATTTTCTGTGCTCACATTTATTGTTGGGTGCATCATTGATTTAAGGATCCTAAGAGATTCTGCATATTGACGAAAGAAAAAATACTTTCCAGCCTATTGAATTTGAATAGAATTGCTTTATCCATGAGGATAGATATGATAATTATATATGTATTTTCTGACATGAGATGTGTTTAATGGATTATGTGTGTTCTTAGATTTTTAGACTGCATTGGTTTTATGCTTTGGATTCATTGCTATGTCGGTAACATATACAGCCATCTATTATTGCTATTGTTTTGTGAAACTCATATATTAACTTTTTGGAGTAGTTAAAATGGTTAGATTAAAGGAGGGAAAACAGTTTTATTAGTAAAAAAGAAAACAACCTCTTTTTCAAAAATAAAAATGTATTGATCAAATAGTTTTATAATACAGAGGATTTTTTCCAGGGTAATTACAATTTAAAATATTTCAGTTTTCAATGTGAGGGTATAAAATATTTAAATAATTGCTTTTCTGTGATAGAGTATCATCCTCTTTATCCTTCTGACATGTACTGTTCAGCACAGTGAGTCAAGTATACGTCTACATTAAAAAAACCCTGACATTTCATCTTATTGTTTAACACCTGACTTGTTAGCTACCGTGTGCTGCCAACAATCTTCTCTATGCCCTGACCACTTTTGTTTTGCTTTCTATAGGAACTATGCTTGCTGAAATGTAGCAATGTTTGTTTACATCATTGTGTCTGTAAGATATATGATCCATGGTTCATTGTTGAATGACAGCCTGATTCTATCTAGGTCTGTGGCACAAGTGCAAAGCTGCTAACCATATACCAGTGTGTTTGACCCACAAAGTATGAAATTGTTCAAGTCTTGCAGCTCCAGTTTCCCATATTTTGATATGTGGTTTAAGACTGCTGTAACACTTCAAATGCTTTTGATTCTGGGAACTGAAATAGCAAACTTGTTTACTACAAAACTAAAGTCCTGTAAGATTTCAGATTCCATCCATACACTGAAATTGTTGGTATACCTTTTGATGTTACCATCAACTGAAAATAACACAAGTTATTCCTAAAGTGATGTACTTTAGTATTATGGTATATCTGTCTTATAGGAAATATAAATCCACAGTAAAAATCCTTTCAAGAAAAGAAAGGAAATGATTTTGCATTTCTTTAATGAATGTTAGTTTTTTCATAATAGCAATTTTAAGACATATTTTCATGCTTAAAATTTTAAATAAATACCTCATAAGCATGAACAAATTGTAGAATTTATTTTTGATGATGGGTGATGTGTTCTTAACATAAACACAGTATGGAATAATGTGAGTTCCTTGTGCATGTAATCAAACACTGTAACAGGTATAGGAAGGCAGTATTTCATGGGAGGGCCTAAATGTATGATTTCACTTTCTATGAGTCTGAATCTTATTCATGTCTTTCTTGGGTTCTGATCTGCATGCTCGTGTCCAGGCCAGACAGTTTATTGGCAATTCCTGTCACTGTTCAGGGCAATTGTAACTGTATTTCTACTCAGTGGTCCAGTAAGGACACCCAGTCCCAGGCTTCCAGCTCCCCAGCTGCATTTCTTTGGTGGAGAGAGACCCACTTTTTGGTCCCTTCTGACTGGGTGTTTCCAAGCTACACAGTTCCCAGCCTTCATTATGTTATTCCCAGCAGAGTCAGGTTGTCCAAGAATCAGAGTCAGTCCAAGAATACCTGATTGCTTTCTCTTCAGAGATTGTTAATAGTGTGATGGCCCATGTTTATAGATGTAAGCATATTTTATTCTTAAGGTAAAAGCACTACTGAGAAAACTGATTTTCAACATAACAAAGAGTTATGTGGAGTTAATCCCACAAACACGAATGCACTTGCATAAAGTTATGTTAACGGTGCCATTGACATCAAATGATGTGTATGAGCATCTTGTGCAAGTAATACTACTTGCACAAGTAAAGATGCTCATACACATCATTTTTTTCAGGATTGGGCATCATATCAGGTAGAGTACCCTCATAATTTTCTGCCTCTTGTATTGCTACTATCAAATACTTTAATTTAATTAAATAGTTAAAACCTGTGCATATATTATTGTGCTAAAATACTAGTTGACAGCTGATTGTTTGATTTAGCTCAGATTTAAAGATTTGATAGGCAACCTAGAGATAACAATAGATAGAACAAAATATCAGCTATGTTTATTATTACTGACTTACACAAAAACCTCCTTAAAAGAACAATGTTAGGATTTCAAAGTCAAACACTCAGAATTTAGGATGTAACATTGCCTGTGCAATCTTAATTCAGACCTCAAGGGCATATGTTTTATGATACAGTCCTTAATTATATGTTCACATACTAGTTTTTCCTGTCTCATACCATGCACAAGATGCACAATTAATCAGCAGTTATTCAATATTTTGTTTTATCCTCATTGTTCAATGTTTGGCCC